AAAATATCGCTATTTAATTCGATACCGCTATTTGGCCGTTTAAGCACCGGGGTTTAAAAGTGCGCTTTAACGGCTAAAACGCGCTAGGAAACCGAAATGTATTTACGAATTAACGGTTACCGGGTAAAGTTAAAAGCGTTGGTTAATAATAAGAATAACGTTAATTTGTTGCACAACCGTTTTTTGGTAAAAGCAAAAAAAATACCGGTACCAAACGAAAGCTATTTAACGTAATTCGATACCAAAAAACGCATGCTTACGCTAAGGGTAAAGAAATACAAAACTTAAATAACGAATAGCTAAAAAATAACCTAAAAATTAATAATGTTTTACGTAATAGTGCCCCGGGCCGGGTACAACATTACGTTGGGCATGCTTTGGTTCCAACAAAAAAACATTAAAATTCGGTTTAAAAATATAAAATAAAGGTTTTCGGTAATTACTAAAAAGGTTAAAATAATTTCGTTGGAAATAGCTAAAAAATTAATCCAATTGGGATAAACGATAACCGTACTAACGGTTGCACGCCCGAAAACCCCGAAAAACCCCGGAAAAAGGCTAAAAGCTTTTCCGGAATGGGTTAAAAAAATAATTGCAAAATATGCGCAGCTTTATAAATTAAACCTTTTGCTAAAACATACAAGCTAAAATTACGCGATTAAATTGGAAAAAAAAACGATGCCGCTTTACAAAAACATTTATCCTTTATTCGAAAAGGAATTAAAAACCTTTCGGGGGTATTTCGACGAAGTTATAGCAAAAGGTTGGATTCGGCATTTAATTAGCCCCGCCGGCGCCGAAATTTTGTTCGTTTTAAAAAAGGACGGGAAATTTCGCTTTTGTATTAATTATTGGGGTTTTAACAAAATTACCAAAAAAAACCGGCTAGCATTTCCGTTAATTTACGAAATATTTAACCGGGTATTTAAAAATTAATACTTTATTAAGCTGGATTTAAAAAACGCTTATTACAAAATACGAATTCGACAAAAAAATAAATGGAAAATTGCTTTTCGCTGCAAATATGGACATTACGAATATTTAATAATGCCTTTCGGTTTGGCCAACGCCTTAATAACGTTTTAAAGCTTTATTAATATAGCGTTTGGAAAATTAATTAATAACAATTGCATTATATATTTAAACGATATTTTTATCTTTTCGAAAATACAAAAAAAGCACCGCAAAGCAATAAAAACGGTATTAAAATAATTCGAACGGTTTAAACTTTACGTTAGCCCGACCAAATGCAAATTCGAAATGGATAATATCGATTTTTTGGGATTTAAAATAACCAAATTCGGGGTCGAAATTTTGCCGGACAAAATTATTGCAATTTTAAAGTAAAGGATACCGGAAAGCGTTAAAAACATTTAAATATTTTTGGGCTTTACGGGGTATTATTAAAAATTCGTAAAGGGCTACGCGAAAATCACTATGCTTTTAACGAACTTTTTTAACAAAAATACCGTATTTTATTTAGGAAATATTACGAAAAAGGCTTTTTGTAAATTAAAGTTGCTATTTACGAAAGCTTCGGTATTGGTGCATTTCGACCTTTCGAAACCGCTGTACGTACGAACCGACGCTTCGGCTTTTGCAATAAAAACGGTGCTATTGCAATTACAAAACGGCCGGTAGCATTTAGTAACTTATATATCGAAAAAGCTACGATAAAAAAAATTGCGTTATACAATTTTTAATTTAAAATTGCTAGCGATTATAAAAGCTTTCGAAAAGTAACGGCATTATTTAGCTTATTTATAAAAAATTATTAAAATAATTACCGACCATTTAAATTATACCCATATTTTAACAAAAAAAAAGTAATAAAGCGTTAAACAAAATGGTTCGAAAACTTAACAAAATACGATTTTACGATTAAATGGAAACTAAAATACCGGAACCCCGCGAATAGCTTATTAAAACGTCCTTAAAATATACCAATAAACGGGAAGGCTAATATAGCAAAAAAGGAATTCCAAAACGATTTGCTAGCTAAATTCTAAAAAATAGCTTACGTAAGGACAACCATTACTAAAAAAAATACCAAAATAATATTAAAGCGCATTTTCGAAATACAAGCAAAGAACGATTTCGTTTAAAACGGTATTTAAAAAAACAAATTTAACGTTTAGGAAATTAATAACGGTTTGCTTAAGCATAAAAAAAAATTTAAATTCCAAATTTAGCACCGTTTAAACGAACAATGCTTTAAAAATAATACGATAACCCAACGGGAAATTACAAAAGCATGGCCAAAACTTTAAAAAAGTTTAAACGGCAATTTAAATGGCCGGGTATGGCTAAAAACGTACGCAAATACGTACGGACGTATTAAATATACCAGCAAATAAAGCCGAAAATACAAGCATTTTACGGGCTATTAGCATTTTTGCCCGTACCAAACCGCCCGGAACAAAAGCTATCGATAAATTTTATCGGAAAATTTCCAACGTTGGTAAATGGAACCGGCAAAAAACGCAACGCAATATTGGTAATGGTTAACCGGTTTACCAAATATAGCTTTTTTATCCCAACGTTTACAAAATTAACCAATAAAGGATTGGGGAGCTTTTTATTTGCATACGTTTAAAAGCTATTGGAAACGCCCGAAAGGATTATATCGGACCGGAACAAACTATTTACAAACGGGTTTTAAATAACTTTTGCCGAACATTTAAAAGTTGCAAAAAAGCTATCGATAGCATATTACTTTTAAACCAACGGGCAAACGGAACGAACGAATTAAACAATAAAATATTACTTTCGGTGCTTTTGCTGCGAAAAGCAAAACGATTGGGCGTTGTTATTGCATTTAGCAGCGTAAATGCACAATACGAGCGTGCATTTGGGGTTGCAAAAAACCCCGGCGTTTTTGTTAATAAGGTTTTACTTACAAAAGCTTTATAATTTTTGGGTAATTAAAAAAAAACCTTTGGCAACGGTTAAAATTAAGGCGGGGGCTTTGGAAACAATTAAAAAGCAAGCCAAAAAACTGCTAAAAAAGCGAATAATATGTACAAAAAGTATTATAACAAAAGTAGGACCCCGGTGCTTTTTGGGGTAAGCGATTGGGTATTGCTAAATACGGCGAATATTAAAATAAAAAGGCCGTCGAAAAAGCTATCGGATAAATGGTTAAAACCTTTTTAAATTTTAAAAATGGTTGGGTTAACCGGTTTGGCGTTCCGGTTAAAACTTTCGGTAAATTACCGGATATATAACGTATTTCCGGCAAATTTATTGCGGGCGTTTAAAAAAAAGCCCGGCAAAAAACCAAAAAATAAAAATTTAAAAATCAAAAAAAAAAAAGGAATTGCTTCGAAATAAAGGCTTTGCTAAAATATAAAAGGCCTTTGCAAAAATAAAAATACTTGGTTAAATGGATAGGTTACAACGAATTGGAAAATTCGTAAATTTTAAAAAAGGATATTACGAAAAAAATTATTTAAACGTATAAAGCAAGCCTATTAAAAGCAAACTTATAAAATAAGGAAAATACCGAACCTTAGCGGGTAAATACCCGGAAAGGACGGGGGTATTACAAAAAAAGAATAATAAAAGCTAAAAAAATAGGCTTAAAAAAATAGTTTAACGTGCCGAACCGGTTAGCCACCGG